TAGAAGGTGGAGGAGACAATTTTTTATGGCAATATAAATTAAAAAAAGTTTTTTTTTAATGATAATTTTTCAAAATTGCCTTAATTCTGGATAATTACCTGCATTGGTGATGTCATTGTTTAGTTAGGTAGATTAATGACAGATAGGAGTTTATTTAATGCCATCGATGTTAGAGTATTTTATTCACAGAAAGCATTAGTTTTATGCATTTCCTAGTAAAATATCGGAATTTCATACAATTCCTAGAATTGGAGCTCCAGATCAAAATCGCTACAAAAAATTTTTCATTTATTTCTGAGGGTTCAATAATTATATTTGAGGCGGGGAGACACATTTTTTTTTAATTAGTAAGATAAAGAGATTAAAAGCTTGTGTAACTTTAAACATTCCCTCCCTTTCGCCCTTGATCTCCTTACCTATCTCTTCCCGTACCTGAAGTTTAGAACTGTGAATTTTTTTTTTATTTATGAAGTAATAAAAAAGTGTCTCCCCCACCTTCTGATATCTAATTCTATTATGTAGAGTGATCTGAAATTGATGAAAAAATTTTTGGAGCGAATTCTGGACAATTACCTGAAATTGAAGGTATATCATAACCTCAATTTTGTACTTCACGAGATACCTATATTTTTCACTGTTTTTTATTGTAATGGGTCAACAAATGTCTTTTCATGTGTCCATTATCAACAAACGCTTTCGAACAGACCTCGCATTCATATGGTTTTTCGCCTGTGTGAGTGCGTACGTGTCTCCTGAGGCTGTTCCCACTCGCGAACGACTTATCGCACGCCAGACACTTGTAAGGTTTCTCGCCCGTATGCGTACGCACGTGGACCGTAAGATCGGGTTTATGTCGGAATGTCTTTTGACACACGTCACACGCATACGGTCTGCTGTCGGTGTGGATCAACGCGTGACTCTTTAGATTGTGATTTTCTCGGAAACCTTTGCCGCAAACGTTACATGTGAACGGACGCACGTTAGTGTGTGAGCCCAAGTGACGTGTGAGATGAGCACTTGAAGTGAAATCTTTGTTACAGAAGGTGCACTTGTATGGACGATGACCATTGTGATACCTACAAGAAATGACACCATAAAAATCACATAGTTATGTTTGCTGTGTTACTGAAGATGATAGAAAACCTATATTATTAGATGATGGTTTTAATGTGCAACTAATAATCGTTCTACGTAATAAAAATGTTATGATGTCTTCCCTACAAATCCTTCCCACATTTTTCCACTTTTTTTTTTAATCTTTAAGATATGTATAGTAAAACAATTGAAGAAACGTAGTTAGGTTCCTAACTGTTCCTCACTCGGTTCTTTTATCGAAATTAGATCCCACATCCCATCCCACAGCTATGTTAAGGCGAAGCACGCACTCAGGAAGTTTCAAATATTGAACGACTTCACCACATAATATTACCTTAGAGCCCATAGAGCCCATTTGGCCCAGTGTATAAATATTTAGAAACCAACTGCCAAATAGAAACAAAACAATGTTTAGCGACTTATACAACTTTCATTTAGTAAGTTTCATAGGGTTTCTATTGACACTGACACACGTAACATACAGAAAAAAATAGACAAAGCAGTCTTTCTCAAAAAAAACATTTTTCAGACCATTTAATTTAGCCCAATACATCAAAACCTTGATACTCATTGACTAAAAGACTTGTAACTGATTATGAGTGCTTAGCTTATCATCATGGTAGGGGGAAAACCTTATCCAACGATTTACGGAATGTTCTTAGTTACTGTTCGCTGATTAATTTTACTTTTTTTTATGTTAAAGCTGTCTACGTTCGTAAAGTTATTGTTATAAAAACTGAGTAGACAGATACGATAGGTTTTTTTATTGCAAAGTAATGGCTGGGTCAACGGATATGATTTTGGGCTCTTACTTTAGTGCATTAGGATGTTACCACGAAGCATTTATAATTCACCCCGTTTGCTTTTAATGTATGCTGTTCTGCCTAAATCTCTATCCTGTGTATCACGGTAGATCACATTTTCAACCTCCGCATTTAAACATATGAGTAATTATTCGAGTTTGAGATGTTCTATGAAATTGTGACATGTGGATCGGGTTGTTGCATAGGTAAATAATGGGTTAATAGTGGTAATAATAAACAAGGCCATGAAGTTTGGGTTAAAAATTGTACAAGAACATTGGGGTAGGTGAATAATGTAACTTAAGGTGATAGTGAGGAGCAAGGTGTTACTCAAAAGGTATATAAAGTGGGTATTCAAATTGGAAAGAGGTACACCAGATTATGTGATAAAAAGGAAAACGAAAAGTGGGAAGATGTGGGAGAAAGCAATAAAAAGGGCAGAGAAGAGGTTGGAGAGACTGGAAGAAGGGGAAATGAGGAAGGAAATATTGAGGAAGAATTGACAAAAGTAGAGAAATGAGTGAGGAACAGAAGCAGGTAAATAATGAGATCAGAGGATTCAAGAAAAATAGAGAGGTCTAGATATACAATGGGTATGAAGAGGAACTGACAAAGGGGTTGGGTACCAAAGCATTTGGAAGGAGGGAGGAAAATAAGTGTAATTGTAAAATTTAGAACAGGAAATGAGAGTAGAGGATGTAATTTTTGGAAAAGGGAAGAGGATAGAAGATGTAGGATTTGTGAAAAAGTGGAAGAGAACTTGAAGCACGTGTTATGAGGATATGAGAATGGTGAGACGTGATAAGAATGGTATGAGTTGGTAAATGAAGATAGGGGTAGGCTAAGCCGCCTGAAGAAGATTTTAAAGAAGAGGAGACAATGTTAGGGGATAGGAAACCATGGGTTTCTTGGCGGTAGTCCACCGAAAACTCTCGGTAGATGCATTCTCTATTTTTGGAAGGAGAAGGAAATGGATGGTCTAAAACGACGTTTAAACACGTTATATTAACGTATCTCGATGGGTTTCTGGGCAATAGTCCACCAAAATTCGCAGCAGTTACAGCCTCTATGCTTGGCAGGATTAGGAAACGAATGGTCTAGAGCAAAGTTTTAGCATGTGATAGGAGGTTTTATGACATTTTCGTGAACGTATCTCGATGTATTTCTCAGCGGTAGTCCACCAGAAACTTACGATGGCTATAGTTTCTATGCTTGGAAGGAGAATGAAGTGGATGGTTTTAAAACGTCGTATCACGTACTAAAACGAAATTTTAGACCATCAATTTTCTTCTCCTCCTTCGTTCCCCTTGTTTACGGAGGTAATTTGCTAATGACCTTTGAAAGGTTGGGAGGTTCCAGAGGTAGACTGACGAAAGGATGAAAAGACAAACGGACAGACCGTTACCATAAACCGAAAACTCGCGGTAGATACAAACTCTATTCTTGGATGGAGGAGGAAATGGGTGGTTTAAAACGACGTTTAAGCACGTTATATGAACCTATCTCGATAGGTTTCTGGGCATTAATCCACCAAAACTCGCGGTAGTACAGTAACTCTATGCTTAGGAGGATTAGGAAACGGATGATCTAGAACGACGTTTTAGCTCGTTTTATGACATTTTCGTGAACGTATCTCGATAGATTTCTTCGCGGCACTCTACCAGAAACTCACGGTGGCTACAGCTTCTATGCTAGGAAGGAGAATGAAATTGGTGGTTTAAATTGTCGTATCGCGTTCTAAAACGTCATTTTTGACCATCAATTTTCTTCTCCTTCTAAGCAACTACCATTCCTCCCCACCTTTGAAAGGTTAGGAGGTTGGAGAGGTAGACTGACGAAAAGATGGAAAGACAAACAGACAAAACAGATACCATAACTTTCATTATCCTTAAAGAATGTTCTTCTGATTAAAATTTACCTTATATGTTGCTCCAATTGATGCTCACTCCTAAACCTTTCACCGCAAATTTCACATTTGTAAAGTGTAACGCAGGACTGTGCTTGTAAATGTCTGTTGAGGTGTGACATATGATTAAAATTAGAATTGCACTTATAACAAGAGTAGGGCTTAATTCCAAGATGAACGCGATAATGCTTCAGAAGGTCCGAATTATGTCGATAGTTTTTGGGACACTGTGTACATTGAAACGGTTTCTCGTCACTATGAGTTCGCATGTGGGACTTGAGTATACCGCGAATACTAAAGCTCTTACCGCACAATTCACAAGAAAAAGGTTTTTCACCAGTATGTGACCGCATGTGTATTACTAAGTACGACCGTTGTGGAAAACCTTTGCCGCATATTTCGCAGTTGTATGGCTTATTTTCCATGTGTATGCCAATAATATGGATTCGCAAAACATTCTTATAACCAAAACTCTCATTGCAAAATTTACAGACAAATGGTTTTTCAGCCTTTTTTGAGTCTTTACGCCGTCCCCTTCTGTAGGTGAAATTATGTATTAGCTTGCTTACATCGTCAATAATTTCCTTGTTTAAAGGACAATCCTCAAAATCTACTTCAGATTTTACAGTCTTATCTTCCAAATTATTTTTATTAATATCTGCACCAGAAGAGACTCGAAAGGGACAACTAATGTGCTCCAGTGATTCTTTTTTAACACAGACACTCACTTCATTTGCAGTCATTGCTAAGAAAACACCATGTAGGTAACTATTATAAATTAACAGCGAATTTTCTACCAGAACTTATGGAAAGAAACACTCAAATTGAGAACTTCTACAACGACGTTTGGGTTTGTTTTGACAAATCATATGTTTCTGGTGTACATTAGGTCTACCAGGACAATCAATTAGAACTACCAACTGAAGTTGGCGTTTTCTACAATACAGGGTGTTGTTATTTACCACTAATCTAAGAAATGATTTCTGATGAAAAAATGAAGTTGGGTTGCTTTATGGTCTGAATATTTTTTGCATTAATATAGCATTAATTCTGTCAAGCATAAATGAACATAATAAAAAATTAAGGAATTAATTATTTCTATTTATTATTCAAAAGAAGTGACACTTGTACATAATAATTAGGAAATGTAATAATATTTCTTTTTACATAGAATCACAGACAGTAAGAGTATTACATTTACATTAAATTACAGAGCACACTCTCATCCAGAATGGATTAAATAGAAAATTAACAAACTTAAATTAAAATCACAACGTTTTAAAACTATTGCTGCAAATAAAGAAGTAGATTATTAGTGTCAAAAGTTGAATTGTTTTATGGCAATGTACCTACCTATTAGCGATATTCTAATATTAATTAAAAATTGGGTTTCATTACACATATCCATTACTAAGTAGGTAAATGAAGTATTTTTTAAATCTTTGTACTGAGCCAAATTAATCTGACAACAGAGAACAGTGAATAGACCGAGGACTAGCTCGGAGGGGTGAAATTTTACAGTATAAGTTAGTAAGTGACCTTTTAAGGAACCGTTCATGAATGTCCCTAAAATGTAAACCCAAAATGGCGTCGTAAGTTACATTGGATTAGTAGTTACAGTTATATGGCGATTGTCGTCTTAGAATTTATGCTCAACAGTTTATAATGTAGCATTAAATTTGAATTTTTTCCAACTATGTTCAAATTTGCACGATACATTGTAAACGAGATAGGTACTTAGGAAAACAGAAGCTTTAGCACAATTAAATAATGACGCCATTTTGTGTTTGCGAATATCCCAAAACTGAAACGTCACCTACTGTCTTTTTAGATAGGTGAAGACTGGGCTGTATTACCGTTCCTAGGTATACTTATTTACTAATAACTGAAAATCAATAAAACAAGATACCTAATTAATAACTAGAAATATGGAGATTTACTACGAAATAGTTTAGGTTGATGGAACTGTCTATGACACGCTGCGATATATTTTGTATTTAAGACTTCATGTTTCAATAAATGAAAAGTTATTTGGAAGAACGTCTTCTCGCAGGGTTGGTCACAAAAGCAATGATTTGTATTCTTACATGTATATTAATTCATTTTTAATATATTGTAATAGCTGCTTGCTTTTTCTGATTATGATTAGCTAAAAATAGCCATTTAGTTTTCATTAGCATTTTTTGGGTCACATATTCACAATAAATGAATAGATAATGTAATATGACTCGGAAAAGTAACTCTATCATCCTCAGGTTGGTGCAAAATTGTGTTTTTTGAAAAGACACTCTTCTGGTTTACAGATATGCAAAATCGTCAACCAGTTGTTCAAAATCTTTGTCTTTGAGCATATCCCATTCTATCGACTGATCAATCTTTCTTGAAGCATTGTTCTTCTTAACTTATTTTTTATTCTTTTCCGTTTAAAGAAGAAGCGTCCACCACTACAGTTAGTTACCATAATGTTTAAAAAGATTCTTAATGCAATTTCTACAATTGGAAATGTGTCTCCAATTCGGTTTTTTATCAAAACTTCTGGAATACTATTACATAGTTTACCAAATACAGACATTCTATTTCTAACACTTTCTCGATAACATCTTCATAGCAGCAAATTCTTTGCAACTTTGTCTCGGGATTTGGAGTCAAGCGAAAAACAATGTCAACAATAACCAATGTCCTTATACAAACTCAATCGCTGTTTTAGATGCACGCTTGGGATATCACTTATGGGAAGTAAGGTATTTCTACTTTTATATATCTTCCCAACTCAGTTGGACTATCAGTGCAGAGTCATCAAAGAATGTCTGGCGCGAACTTCTAAGTCTTATTCTTTGAGACAAGCCCTTGTAGTCAGATTCTGTATTTTTCTCATTGGAGAGCGATTCGAAGTAATAAAATTTCAGAATATATAAATGTTTGAAGAATCACCTACATTTAGGTATGCTCGCGTTTATAGCATGCAAAAGCGATTATGCAAGTAAAGATTCTAACAGCAATTATTGATTAATTTTCTTAAAATAATTATCGGCTTTTGGTTGGCGTATGGATCTGGCAAGAACTATATAGGGGGCCTCCGTTGATCGTGGGGCCCTGAGCACTTGCCCAGAGCTCCCAATGGAAAAGAGGGGTCTGTAAGGACCTAATTTTCAATACTAGGTACTATTATTAAATTGATATTCTTTCTGGACAAAAGTACCTACATAATGTTATTTAAATTCTATATTGATGTCCTTATTTATAAGTATATAACCATATTCAATTTATTATAGTCATTTATTTGCAAAGTATTCTATTTATTTTATCCGTAAAATTGGGTCGTACATATCTAAGATCAGTATTGTCGTTGGGCTCAAGATACGCCAGACTATCCGATTGACCTTCAACTTAGTCAATATTTTTGAGAATTTCAGGTTTATAGGGAATGATGTGGGAAGAACTTTTTATACAGTTGGTCCCGTGTATAATGCAGGAAAGTAATGAATCGGAATTCTTATCATTTCCTCGAAGGAATTTCAGTAGAACTGTGTAAATACCTAAGAGTATATTAATTTTTTAATTCGTGCAAAGTCTGGGGATTTTTAGAAGAATATTTGGAAAAATGTTCGACAATTTAATTAAATATCTCCTTAAGAGAATTATGAGCCATACATACGTATGTCCATAATTTAGAGTCAATTTATTCGCTATGACTTACTCTATTGAGTGAAATTGGAATAACGATATTTATTAGTCAATCGTATGATCAGAATAAAGAGATGTATACCTAAAATAACGAATACTTTGCAGAAAATATTAAATACAAATAACACTTCATTTGAAACAATAAAAGGGTAAAATGAACAAAACAATCGAGGAAACAGAAAAGAACTGCTGTATTCAATTAGATCTGAACTCATAAAATGAACCGCTATTATTCTAAGATTCGACTTCGACCTTTAGATTTTGCTTTATCGTATTCGTACACTATTCGAACCATCATGGTTCCCGTTATAAAAACATATTAACAGTTATTTCATCGATTATTCCTGTATGGAACTATCTTGGCCCAAACCTCCCGTTTTTCATGCGTATATACAGGGTGTGTTCCGAAATATAACCCAGCATACTGGCCAGTGCTGATGATATCATGAATCAACGCCATATTGTACTAATGTGCAACCAGTGGCGGATTATCAATAAGGCAAAGTAGGCATATGCCTAGAGGCGCAAGGTTAAAAAGGGGCGTGCAGTGAAGTTTTTAAACCTAAAAAAAATAAGGAAGTACCTAATAAAAAAAAAGTATTTTGCAAAATATATGACCGCCAGAGGGGCGCCTATGAGGTGTTAGCCTAGAGCGCTCTCGACATTTAATCCGCCTCTGTGTGCAGCCATATCGTACTGGAGAAAAACAAGTGTGACGTACCAGTATATCAAACGGGCGTGTGTGCTTCAGAGATTGAACAATTTTTTATTGTAATAAACGTTAATAACTTTTGGAGCAAAATTGTTGTAAACGAGCACAAACACTATTCTCAATATGGCGTCAATTAGACGTCAACGCAGTGGCCAGTATATTTCGGAACGAATCAACAGTATGGCGTCGATTCACGACGTCATCAGTACTGGGCAGTATGCTGGGTTATATTTCGGAACACACCCATAGTTGGGACGTTCAAAATCGGCATAGTTCGCAATAAAACTGTCACATTTTCTTGCTTCTTTCAAGTCACTAACTAGACTACAGCAGTTGCTGACAGAACGCTTACTTTCGCAGACGACAGACGTTGGAGGGAATATCGCAAAAATAGAAAAGAGATGACAGGTAGGAATTGCAGCGAACACTAATAAAGAAAAGGGAATAACATTATACCAATTAATGTGTATCGGAAAGAGATGGAGACAAGCAGAATTTAAGCATCACCAGCATCGGACTTTAAAGAAAGTTCAACATTCTCCGGAATATGAAGATTGGAAAAACTTTGGCGGTTGTTGTAGAACAAACAGAATAGCTCAAAACCCCAACGCCAAAACACGACACTGTAGTTGTCTGAAGCACTTTTCGGTAACAAAGTTACCTTCTTCAGGGACTGAAGTAAACTAAACCTAAATGAGAACTAATCCTAATTTATACTGATGGTTGTTAAGGTTCAGTGAACATGACATTAACTTCCTTGTACACAGATTACTTAGCTTCCCTCTTAGTAAAAATAAATATAATAAGGAACTCTGTACAATTAAGAAAATTGCAAAAGACAATGGTTACAATTGTAACATTATTGATAAATTAATTAATAAGATAAAATTTAGGAATTTTATTTCAAGATCTACGACTTTTCAAACAGATGCTAATAAAACCAAGTTTATTACTATGCCATACGAGCCAAGATTTACTCGCGGACTCGAGGGTATTTTTCGAAAACTTGGTTTACGGATTGCTTACAGTTCAAATGGCAACTCCATTCAAACTCTCCTTGGTAACCCTAAGGATAAAATTCCATTCTTAGAAAAGTCGGGGATATATGAAATTAGTTGTAATGACTGTAGTAAAAAATATATTGGACAAACTAGACGTTCAATCAAAACCAGATTTAAAGAACATCTAGCTCATGCTAGGTTTGGTAGAGAAGAAAAATCTAGTGTTGCCCAACATATTCTTACTGATGGACATAATATTAATATTAATAACCTTAAGTTAGTTAAAGAAGTTAGGAATAATCGTTTACTAAACAGTTTTGAAAGTTTATACATTTATAAAAATAAACAAATTGTTCTTAACAATGACAACGGTCCCATCCCTGGATCTCCGCTATTTAGTTTAGTTTAATTACGTTTATGATGATGATGTTAAGGTCCATTGAACATCTACCTTGTTGG